CTGTATTTCTAAGAAGCTAGTGTAAAAGCCATGCACCTTTTGCATTACTTCTGTGTCAGCTTCCTCTTCAGAAAAACAGCAGAACTGTGAACGCAATCTACCTTGAAGAGGAACAGGAAGATTCCACCCTTTGACAGTGACATACTGACACCATTTTGTGCCAAAGGCTACAACTCCCTGAAGTTTTCATCTGTTTCTCTGATTGGCTGACTCGCTTTGTCTGCTCCCCATTTCACCCTGGTGCTGTTCAGGACCTGCCCAAAGCGGGTCCCTGGGGCTGGTCAAGGGCAATAGTGGATGTGCCTCCCTTTGTCATAGTAATGTGCAGTGACCACAAGCCTGGCCTTGCTTCCTAGCTCCCAGGAGAAGGGACTGACAGGCTTTCCCTTTACCCATCCACATTGGCCCCATCCATCTGATAAGCATGGGTTTTATGCGCTTCTCCTATTTTGGTACTAGTTCAGGTCTGTCCTTCCCAGTCCATACCACTGCCATTATTCACATCTCCTTCACAAAAATCTGCTTGGTTCAAGGCATAGGAGGCTTTCCTATGAAAATTAGGTAATACGCTTGAGTGTGATTCAGTCAGTAGAGATGGAATTGATATAATATCAAGTTCAAAGTAACTTAGTATCATGTAACTTTGCTGTCCTAAACTAGCTCTCCCACTCCTGCTAACTTTAATTCAAATGTCCCCCACAGCACTTGACCATCTCTGTCTGCATCATACCACTTTAGTGGCTGTTTGTGGAGATCAAAAGCTGTTTAAGAATTAAGATTTTCTTATTATAGTCTGACTTCAGATCATCCACAGAACGTCTGCAGATATTAAAACCATTTTCTGACTAACTCAGACACAAATATTAAGTGACAGTTCATCAGGGAAGAAATATACTATTTAATTATAGACACCCCCCTTCCCTAAGTGGCTGTATTTCCCCCCCAGTCAGTGGTTTAGAACTATGTTTTTCTTCATTTGAAAATTACGCTTTTGGTCATGCTCAAGAGTTACTGGCAAACAAAAAAATCACTTATTTTCTTATTGTTCCTCCTTCGTAGATATCTGCATTGGAAAAAGGTTTTTGAGGTGTTACATCGATGCTGCAGTGCTCATTACTGTTTGGCCAACTGAGCTAGAAATACACAGTTATTTCACAAGCCATATTCCCACAATATAATTCAGCATCATCGTTTATCCAGTGGCAATGGCCCACTGAGCTCCCAAATCCGTCCCTCACTGTTTACTTGCAAGGCTGCACTATAAACCAAAACAGTGAAATCAAACCCAAATCTCACAATGTACTGCTTATTTATTACATGTTCAAATCTAAACCACTTTTGATACAGGTCACTCATGCTAGAAAGTTTCCCTGCCATGAGTGTGATGTTAGCAAAGGGTAACAGAGGACTGAAATGTCATAAATTAAAACTGTGAGATGGAGCTATACCCTTAATTATTTCTTTCTTGTCCCTCCCTTCTTGTTTTACTTTATTGCTTCCATTTTGGTGTAAAGACTTCAAAATTAAAAAAGAGAAAAAACTCATCCTTCTTGTCTCCCCCAAAATATTCCACATGGAGCAAGGGCCAACCCAAGCAGATACAGCACTACAGACAGTCTGCTGAAGAAGTATCCAACTTCAAGCTCCTACTAGGACTGTTTACAGATCCTGGATAATACCTCTAGGTACCAAAGATAACTGTAGCTTCTAGTCCTGTGAGAATCATGCACCTTTGTTAATATTGAGCCAAAAGTCTGTGAGTCAAATTTATTTTTAAATGTATACTGCACTAAGGAATAAATAATTACAACCCATAAAATGGTTGTTTACCCAGTTTCATTTTAGCTGACATAGAAACACTAGGAATGCTGGTGGAAAAAAAAAAGCAAAAAAAAAAGCGTAATTTTTTCTTTCTTTTCCCTCCTCAAAACTTTACTCTGAGATGGTGGGCTAGGTTCTGATTTCATTTATTCTACTCTAAATCACAGGTTAAAGTGTGAATTCAGAGTACTTTATCTTTCCTACATTAGACGGTCATTCCTAGAGAGCAGCATTGCATGCTTTTGTGTCAGCTCACTGCCAAAACTAAGCAAAACACACTGTTTGGCATTGTTAAAAAGAAGCCTCAACCTGTCACAATGTAACTTGCTGTACATTCAACCCCTCGATTACTCGGGTAGGAAGAGACCAGGCTCTCCACTGTGCATCTCTGCTATAAGACACCACTTCCGAACCCAGAACTTGTCAGATGCAAATCCCAGTTCAGTTTCATTTAGAAACCTCCCCTCTAGCCCAGATTACTCTAGATACTATGAAAAAGTATATATATAAGACACATGTGCATTACAATAGCTTTAAGTAAGGTCTGGGAACTTAAAGCCTCAGGCTGCTCACAGCCACAGCTTCATTCCACATGGACCACAAAAACTTTCCCTTCCTCGTACTGAGAAAGAATGACCAAGTGGCTGATACCACTGGTGACAACTAGAAAGACTTCCCATCTATGTTACACAATTAATGTGGCCCACAGTAATGCCGAAGGGGAAATACTATCACAGGTCCCCACAGGAAGAACATTGCAAACTACAGAGACCCCGAGTCTACCATGGAAGCCCCACAAAATCTACCAACATTGGTAGCCTCAGTGTCATGACTTTTTTTCTTCCCTATCTGCACATATTGCTGCCTTTCCCTTCCCCCCCTATCTTTTCTATCTCTAACTCCTCTCAATAAGTAGAGTAACAGAATCCATTCAAAATAGGATCCATTGAGCCTGGGCCCTCACACTATTACATTGATAACTTAAAGGGAGATGAACACAGGAAGTTGGAATTAGCTTTCATAAATGGAAGTAGTTCTCACAGTACAACAGCCATCATCAAGAAACTTTTCACTACATGTTGGAGATGCAACTTTTTTATTGGCTAGGCATTCAAAACTACTTTTCCTTTGAGCACAGACTGCTTCTCACTGAGCAATAATGTTAATGCTACTTCAAATATTTCAAATTTCAGACTTTTTTGGTGTCTTATGACTTAACTGTAAGAATTCTGAGACAGAAGTGGGTAGATGTTTTTGCTCACATTTTCACATTCAAATTAATTCAAATTAGAGTTTTTCCTTTTTTAAAGGCAAGTGAACAGTAGAGAGTACACTGTCTCATAGATCACCCCTTCGCACTGTTTTTCAGGTTCAATTTTTTCTATGCTTCAGATATGAAAAAACATGACTGAAAGTGGAATTCATCTCACTTTAATTTAGAGACTTATAAGGGAAGCATCTACAGCACTGGGATTAGAGTCCCGTTTTAGCCCCTGAAGAGGAACAGCAATAAGGCAAGATTCAACCCCAACATTTTAGATGCTTCCCTAGGATGAGATGAATTGCACTTGGAAAGTACTGATTCCTCTGCATTAACTACACTGCATAGTATAAATATCTACATTTGTACAAACCTCTGTCTCTTTCAATATGTAGTTTTTCCTGTCTACATACAATCTGTCCATTTTAATTTCACAGTTTTTGAGACAAGGACTTTCTTCCTTCATATACATGTGCAACAAACAGGTCAACAGTATCAGGACTGCATGATTGTGGCTTTTATTTGCTGCTAAAGTATGAAACATCAAGAATAATGGCAATGCTAATACCCATAACAGATAAATAATTACGGCTCATGGAAAAACCAATGGTTTAAATAAGAACAATACTGGAAGCCTAGCTCAAAAAAAAAAAAAAATTCACAGCCATTGCATGCAACACAACTCTGAAAGGCCAGATATGGGGAGCAACCAAAAAGAAAGCTTTGTCCTGCTTACAAAGTCTCTCCTTGTTGTGGTTATGGACTCTGATCTGTTACAGCAGCAATAAATTTTATGGTCTTTAGCTTTTACAAAGAGGGTGAAAGAGGGCCAAATCTCATGTTGTCTCCAGTCTTTAACTAAAAGGAAAAAAAAAAAAGGAAAAAAAAAAGAAGAGCAAGAAAAAAGTGCCTCTGAACAGAGGTGAGGACAAGTGGAGCTCATCTGTAGCTAATAAAGGTTCCTGATCTACAATTTCTCAAAGGTGGGCTAAACTGCCTTTCCAGGTGACCCCGTCTTTCCTAAGCTACTCTTTCCTTCATAATTTGCAATGGAAGAGAGCCATCACCTCTCAGTCATTCTGTCCATTAAATACTGCAGGCAAAACTTGGCTGTTTGGATGTTTTTACTAGGATCCTTCACAAACTATATATCCTCTTGGTCTCAGTCATTACAGCTACTGGGCTGGGCAACAGCATGAGGAAAAAAGGGAGAATTCACCTAAATAAAGAGCTTTTGGGCACAAAGGCCATCCTTGATGAATTAGGTACAGGCGGCTTTGTAGTGAAGAGGATTGCAGAACTTCTTCAGGCCATCAGAGGCAGGAAGAAAAGTGTAACCGTGCAGTGCAAGTCAGACTGCTGCACATATTTAGAAAGAAGTGCAACAATCAAAATTAACTGGAAATTTGTAAAATTTTACAACAGTTCGTCAGACCACCAGGCATTAAAACCTTTGGAAACACCTTACACTCTGTTAACTAAGTAAAAATATAATAAATTATATACATCTCAACCCTTACTGCACCACCTACACTTTTTTCTGTATAAAACTACTGATGCATAGTTTAAAACCCCACTGCACACAATAGCCTCTTTAGCATGACATCTCACCTAAACATGACATTATTTCACCTGTATTCAGGATGACCTCTCTTTTCAGTCTAATAGCAATATTTTCAAAACAGTAATACATTCCTTTGCAGGCTCCCTCTAATTTAATAAAACCTTCTCAAGTAAAACTAATCAGTGGGTGATTTATGTAGTTTTAGATCGACATAGCTTTAATCAAATTACTAAGCTACATGTAAAAGCCAAATTTACATAGAAAAGTTTCCTTTCATGAACAAATAAATGCTGAAAACATAATTTCAAGAAAAACTTGCAAAGAAAAAAAGGGGGGAATAGCAAAGGTAATTACCTATCTCCCTTTGGTTTTCTTTTTTGTACTGTCTTCCCTTTGGGTCGTCTTTCACTTCCTAAACAGGGGCTCCCACCAGGGCCTGTTACCCGTATTGATTCAAGGCCTTTGGAAGATTTCTTAAAAGTAAATTCCACTGGTTCTCCTTCTTTTAGGCTTCTAAATCCTTCCATGTAAAGCTTGCTCTGTAAATAGGAAAAATACTCTTGGTTATCGTTGTCTTAAAAACAGTATTCACATTTATAATCAACAGGACAAATTAACCCAGCTACCATCCTACAATACATATAAGCTGAGTAACAGCTTCCTCTGTGTGGGCTATAGCAGACAATACTACAAATAATAGTCCTGGATACGTTGAAAACACTATTCAACACTAAACAAGTAACAAGAACCTATTTTCAGTAGCAGCAAAACTTAAACAACATTTTCCTTTTCTGTGATGAGTGCTATAGATGCAAGAAGCAGAGAAAATGCTGTAATCTTAAAACACTAATAGGTGTTGGGAACTGAAAAGGTCTGGAAGGAAAGTAAATATTCACTTTAGAGCTAATTCGTTTATGATCAAAATTTTAATTATTTTTATTCTTTATATCTGGGACATGGCTCTGCTGCTCTGAAAATGAATCAAAGATAGAGCAAGCATGAGAAGCAGGAGGAAGGCACTCTGAACAAAGTCCACTGAGATGGGCAATTCAGATATCCCTAGTGAGCTGTTAAATTTCTGTTCACTACAGCAAAAATGTTATCTACTTAGCATCATTTATGTACGGATTTGTATTTTCATTCACAGAAAAGGAAATTATCAGCATCAGGGCAAGTGAAATAAATAGTGATAGATCTTTTGCTATTGCACTGCAGCAGCAAAATCTTGGACAAGCTGAAGTCAACAGGAGCTCATCACTGATTCTAATACAATGAAAATTTTCAACACAACTCCAAATAAATTATGTACAATAGTAAATAGACTTACAATAGTAAGTCTACGTTCCAGGACAAATCTGATGAATCAAACTCTTAAATAAAATGATCATCAAGTTAAATGAGACAGCCTTGGAGTTTTTTTGGGTGGGGGGGTTGGAGATAAAGTGATAGAGTCTGGTTGCACTACACTTTTATTTTAGAAGTTACACAGTACATGAATGAGATCAGTTGCACTCATGGATAATTTTACAAAATCCATTAATTTCCAGTCAGAGGTTTTCCAGGAGAGTTATAAAACACGTCAAGAAGGGAATCTTCTCTGCAGGTGCGATCCAACTCAGTCACACGTCAAAAAAGCCGAGTGACACTTGACTCTAAATTGCATCTGTTACCTGACAAGTGCAACTAGGGAACATGTACGAATCGAATGGCAATCCCTGACATGGACTTCCTGTAATGATATTATGGGAGGTCTGCAGCACCAACACACTACTTTAGCATAGCACAAAACCTGACACAGTTCATAGTTCACATACAAAGAGGGAGGTGGTCTCTTCACAAGGATGCACAGAGAATAGGACAAAAGGCAACAGAGCTCCCTTTGAGCTTCTTCAGAGGAAACTCCATCCAGACACAAGGAGAAGTTGCTCACTATAGAAAGAATTAAACAGAGAAGCCCAAAGTAGTAGTATAGTTCCCTTTGCTGGAAATAGTTAAGACTCAGTTTACCAGGCCAATGAATAACCTAATCCAAGGCCCTACTTTCAGCAAAAGGTTGAATCAGATGAGATCAAGAGGTGCCTTCCAACTTAGGCTTTTCTGTGACTGAGATATCCTAAGCAGTGCTGAATCACACCCAATGAGACTGAAATACAGGATTCCAGTTCCTGGTTCTGCAGCAGAGTTACCTTGGGGGACCTGTGTCACTTAACTTCTCCCTGTCTTTCTGAAGAGGGACACCCTTGCAAAGTCTATTTCCCACAGCACTAACAGCTAAGTTACAAATTATAAAATAATTGGGAATATTTATTTTAATGAAACCATGTGTGAAAGCACACGTGCCTTAGCTTCCCAAAAACCCAAGGACCAGACCAGCTGAGTTCTCAGAGTCTACCCAGCACAACAAGACACTACCAACACTGGTCTGACCAAGCAGCTCAGGTGCTTATAATCTTCCAGCAGAAAATAAGCAAGAACACAGCTCCATTGCTTAGAACTAAGTCTTATTTTGCTTATCCAGTTGTGCAGTTCTAGTACTCATGGCTCTTCCACCACATTGTTGTAAGTGTGAAGCATGAGACAAATAGTTGATTTTACAGGCCAGAGGTTGAGCACTATTTAAAAAGGGGGGGCAGGAGGAGGGAACAGCATGAAGGAGTTGCAGGATACATGAAAGAAGAAATAAATAATATCTGTTCTCTTAATCATAAGCTTGGCTTTTTAAAAAAATGAATACATAAGGTACAAAAAAAGAAATATTCAAGTATTCTTACTAATGCAACTAGAAGACAGTAATTCTACATAAACCAATGAAACAAACCACCCAGAAAGGCAGTATTACTTCAAGCAACCCTCCACTTTGAAATGTCTGTATAGCAATAAAGAGATCTTTGTCACATAATGAAGAAATATCCAAGTTCAGCATATGCCCAAAGAAGACACCACCACTCATTAACTGAAACAGCAGATACTGCCTGTGGCGTGAATCCATCTCTAGGTCCCTCCACACTACAGAAAATTTTTTTAAAAGGAAAGAACAGAACACTGTGTATTCTGTCCCAAACTAAGCATATAGTGGAATGTTCCAAAACTAGACAATCATGGCAACACATATGGGTGCTAATCACAAGGGAACCTCAAAGGCATAAGCCCTTATTTTCCTGTAATACTGAACACAGCATGGATGCTTTTGTCTTTTTGTTTAATTACAATTTAATGAAGATACAGTTAAATCTCAGGAAGAGTTACATGCGGTTTTCCTTCGTGAGTTTCACTGTTATTAAAAAAATGCCAAATGACTGACATTGGATATGTATGTAACATTCTCTACTACTTCAAAATAAGTAAGTACTTGCTTAAAATGGAACTTATACCAGGGCATTATTAGTATTCTAAAATAATTTCACTTTTAGCAACAGAGCTTCTATTTCCAAATGAAGCACTCTATTTGTAAGAGAGATTTTTAAACATATTTAAAAGCCTAAGTAAAGGAACAATTACGCTTTCATGAATCACATGTTACGTGGGTGTATATTTTTTGCATGTTTGTTTTTTTCCAAGCACTTTTAACAACAAAAAATGTTGTTAAAAATGTTGAAAATGTTGAAAAAACCCACTTCAAATTACTTGCACAGTACTTTCCTTGAATACACCTCAACAGCTTTTCAATGTTAGACATGGATTTGGTACTGCCTGACTTACTGTGCAAATGTATAGCTCCTGGTGAGATTCTCTGAGGGCGCAATAACAATTCAAAGCCATTGTGAAAAATGGCATTTGGAAACCAGCAAAACAAATCTAAAACCTGAATTGCTCTTAACTTGTCTAAAGAGTTGGACAAAAAATGTCTGTAAAGTTGATAATTTAATGTTGAAAGATCTAGCTCAGTATTTTCCTCACATTACTCAAACAAAACCAACACAATTAAAACCAGCCAGAGTTTCAAGTCAGTGAACCATTTCTAGAGCCCTGAATGGGGTGCATGGGCACACCGCCAACGAACAAAGGGAAAAACTTAAAAGCAACACGCTTTTCCTCGCTTCTCCCTCTTTCGGTTGTCAGAGACTTTACTGTTATTTTTACTAGCAGTCAATACAGTAATTTCAGACTAGAGCTTTTTTCTTTCTCTTTTTTAATTTGACAGGGCCATTTCTGGTGGGGGTTTGTGTGTTGTTTTTTTTTTCTTCTTTCTTTTTAATAGATATCCTATTATTTTTTTGGTATTTTAGCCTACAATGTAAAATATCACACATCTCTGTCACAAGCAATGGCTTGGTCCAAAATGCTGGCAACTTTGTAGTAGTATTAGCAACAACAAATAGGAATGGAAAAATCCACGACTGCAAGTTTACAGAAAGCATTTCCTACTACAAGACAAAAATCAAAACTTAACAAATATAAATATGATTAGCAAGATGGTCCCCAAGAAAAGCACTACTTCCTGGGCAGTATCAGGGAGTGCTTACAGCTCTCACCAGGGTCTACAAAAGAAAGGGAGTTTGGAATTAAGGATCATTATAGGGGCCCGATTGCATCAGATATTTGTGCATTACTTTTAATAATGTGTGGGGAGTGCGTGCCTACTCACAACTTTGCCATTTCTAGTCAGGGCTGTGAACAACTGCTGTTGCAGACATTAAATCTTTTAGAAGAGAGAGAAGAAAGTTATTTGGTGGCATTCTGCTTACATCAATTATTTTCTGTATCTCTCATTTCTGCCCCTTTTTATCTAGTGATTGATCGATTGCTTAGTACAATGACCAGACGCCACTAGTATGCCAGGTCTCCAAAAGTAAGAAAACTGTTTTCCCTCCAAAATTATCTACAATTAAATCCAGACATGAAGGAAAGCATATCCTGAAGCTCAGCCACAGTTAAGAAAATCTCTCCAAAACAACCTCATACAGTTCCATCAAGAGCCAGCAACCTTTCAGTAAAGCAAGAGTACACAGTAAGAAGACACAGAAGTAAATCAATTCACACTGGATGCATACTAATGCTCTTACCTGCAGTGGGTCAAAACCACTGCGAAACAGTATTAATTACATGATACAACTTCTGCTGCAAGGATTTTTGCTGTCCACCAAAATTCTATTTTAGCAGGTTTGTGAAGACCATGTATTTTTGCAGGCAGAATGCTGAAACAAACAAACAAATCTACTACTCTGAACAACAGCCCCTCTGAGAGCAACATGCAGCTCTGCTGCACTAGCATAGAAATTGAAGACTGGGCACTTGCAAAACACCTCACCAGCGCTCCTACTGACCTTAAGGGCTTGTTCCTGCTCCCAGAGGCTTATCTTGCACCAAATCTGGCACTTCTTTCAGTCCTCCCCATAAGCCAATTTAACTCACTAATCTGACAGGAAACAAACTCAGTTTAAAAAGAAGGGGGGAGGATAAGAGGAAGAGGAAATAGAGATAGATTTTTGTTTTTCCAGTGAGCTAAATCTATTCACAGAAAGGTTCAATGAGCCCCAGGGCATACATAGTGGAAACGGCAACTTTTGAGATGTGTGTTCCTTAATATTTTAGGTAAAAA